GGCACCCGAGCAAGGGCTCCACTACATCATGTTCGTAAGGCAATGACAAGGAGGGAGAGCACATTCCAGGGGGCTGGATACTTTCTGATTCCCTTAGAGCTCCTGTTCTGCAGCCCAGTGTGCTGTCCACAGAGGGGGTGTTTCTCAGGAGGTGTGCGTGTGGTAGGCGTGGCCGGTAGTGGAGGAACATAGGGGATATTACGGAGGAGCGTTTAAGGAGGCATCTGCACTCGGTTTGCGGCCTTGTCCTGAGGAGGAGTCTCTGAGCGTGCTCAAGATGATTCACGGTCCCACTGGGTGCATGAAACTGTCTGACAGTAACAGCTTTCCCGGCTTCCTTCCCTGCCTCTCTTCACATCCGTCTGCTTGGCTGGGAAGTATGCTGCCCCAGATACGCCTCATTTTATAGCAAGAAGGTGGGCTGGTCCTTCACTTATCGCCCCCTGGTCTAATTCTGAGGTATTATTATTAGCATACAGTTATATGCTCGGCACAGATGTTCATTAAGTTCTTTCCTTGGGATGGAGACAAGAAGGGAACCCACTAGGAGATTCCTGATGTGGGATTCATTAGGTGGGACTCCCCTCTGCACTTTCCATCTGAAAATGGCAGAAGCCCGCCCAACGGGGCCTTGACCAAAAGGAGAACGAAAAATTAACAAATCAAAGATTGTTTTGGTGCCTTTTAAGGGACTAGTCACTAAGCTGGCAGCTGTGTTTTACTGCGTTCTTGATGGCTGGCTCCAAGCCAGTCTCAATGCATTATGGGTAGGGCCCTACCAAATTCATGGCCATCAAAAATGTGTCACCGACTGTGAAATCTAGTCTTCCCCTGTGAAATTTGGTCTTTTGTGTGCTTTTACCCAGATTTCAAAGGGGAGACCAGCGTTTCTCAAATTGGGGGTCCTGACCCAAAAGGGAGTTGCAGGGAGGTCCCAAGGTTATATTAGGGGGGTCGCAGTATTGCCACCCTTACTTCTGTGTTGCCTTCAGAGCGGAGCAGCTGGAGAGTGGTGGCTGTTGGGCAGGCGCCCAGCTCTGAAGGCAGCGCCCCGCCAGCAGCAGCGCAGAAGTAAGCATGGCCACCTTTACTGCTGTCTTCAGAGCTGGGTGGCTGGAGAGAGGCAGCTGGTAACTGAAGGCCCAGCTATGCAGGCAGCAGTAAGGGTGGCAATACCATACCAGGCCATCCTCACTTCTGCGCTGCTGGCTCTGCCTTCAGAGCTGGGCTCCCGGCCAGCCGCCGCTGCTCTCCAGCCGCCCAGCTCTGAAGGCAGCACCACCGCCAGCAGCAGCACAGAAGGAAGGGTAGCCATACTGCTACCCACCTACCATAACCTTGCAGCCCCCCCCAGGCCCCACAACTCCTTTTCGGGTCAGGATCCCTACAATTACAACACTGTGAAATTTCAGATTGAAACAGCTGAAATCATTAAACGTAACGATTTTAAAAATCCTATGACCGTGAAATTGACCAAAATAGACCGTGACTTTAGTAGGGCCCTAATTATGAGAGGGTTGAAAGGGCTCGGCTCGTACATCTAATTTCCTCACTAACTGGGTTAGAAAAGCTGCTCTTGTTTTAGCTTTCCGGCATTAACACCCCACTGGCCCATTTCGTCTCTGCCATAACTCCACTGGCCTCAGTGAAGTAGATGCCAGGGATGAATCTGGCCCTAAGTTTTAACACACAGCTGCACGGTATCTTTTGAGATCTCAGAAGGCTCTTCATACTCGCGGTTGTTAATTTCCACTGCCACCATCAAAAGGGGGGAGGGGGGAAGTGTTAGCTATTCATCTGCACACCACATTGTGCCAACTTCCCCCAGCAAATGAAAATCCCTCCCTGTTCACCCCCTGCTGTAAGCTGACCTGAGCAATCTTGTCAGGGCCAGGAACCATGCAGGAACTTTTCTGAGGCTTTTTTTTTACTTCCAAGGCTTTTTGCAGCAGAAATTGCTAAATTTGGCTCCCCTTCCCTGGGTGTGCTGCTTGCAGTAAGAGGTGGTGGAAAAGTCCTCCTAGAGCCCAGAGCTGGGGTAGGTTAGTGTTAGGACATAGGCCTCAGACGCCTGGGTTCTGTTGCTGGCTTTGCTAACCTTGGGTTGGGGGCAGTCCTTAGGAGCATGCACGCACACATATAACTTCACTCACGTGAGTAGTTCCTGTAAGTAGTTTCAGGATTGGGCCCTATTTTATCACATGGCTCCGTGACTCAGTTTCCCCATCTGTAAAATGGGGATAATAATACTTCAGATGGGTGGCATGAGGCTTAATCCACAAATGTTCCTAAATCACGTTGAGAGCCAGGGATGAAGGTTCAGGTATAAATGCCGGGTGTGTGTGGTACTACATGGACTGTGACAAAAGGTACTTAAAGGATGGGGTCTGGGACACTGAATGCCGGGGGAAAATCTACCAACCATTCTGCCAGTCTGTGAGAGTGCTCTTGTCTTAAGAAAGCCAATGGCATTTGTTCTAAGGAGGAACTAGACTCAAGATTCCCAGCATGACTGCTCTCAAATGCTGGGTACAGCTGTAATTTCTATTAATTATCTTTACAGTAACAATCTTTGGCACTTATACAGCACCTGGTCTTATCCTCAATATACAGATGGGGAAATCAAGGCACAGAGAGGTAACACATGTTCCAAGGTCTGAGGTTTCTTAACTCCCCTTTCTCTGTTCCCTAA